CCTTTGCAATATGAGTAAATTTAGAGTATTCCTTGAGTTCACATGGAACTAGATTTATTGTCTGTTGCTGTAAGTTTTTTGTATTGATGTTGTTTGCTTTAGCAATTGCTGTTCTTTGCTTTATCTTAGTTTAATATGGAGTTAAAGGGCACGAACTTGAAACTGGAAATAGATGTGCATTTGACATCCTGCTTGCTGCTTTTACTTTTTATGTCTATGTTTAACAGACAAACTGGGTTTTTTTGCAAATCCTTTTGCTCATAATTGATCACTGCATGTAAATTTGAGTGTGCAAATGCTGTTAATTGAGAAGCTGGCTTGGGAAATAGCATTTTTAATATTCCCCTTTCAATCTATTGCATACTTATTGCATCCAATTAATCTTATACTAAGAAACTTTTTGTTGTTGTTTTTGTGATGAAGATGTAAAAGTAGAAAGGTTCTAATTCTGAAATATATCACCCAGTCTTCAAGAGTCCTATTTTTTCTTCAGTATGTGGTTCACTGTCAGTAAAGCATTTATAAATTTGTCTCTGACTGAGCTGTTTCAAAGGTCTTGGGGGCATGCAGAGATACTTGATCTATACTTTCAGTCAGTTAGATAGTAGATACATGCTAATGTTCTTATCAAATATCAGTCTTGAATTACATTATACTCACTCTCGTTTAGAATTCAATGCCAAAAGGACTGGTTATGGAAGTATTAGAGTTTGATACAGTTGCCTGTCTTCCACTGAAAAACTGGTCTGCACAGAAAGTGAAAAGTTTTCAAAATGAAGGCAGGAATTACTGAATTCACTTCCCACTCTGTTATTTGGCTTATTGCAACCTTGCAAAGTTTTCATGAAAATTTAGCAAGTAAAAATTAAATTAACTCTTTTTATTAATAAAACAAACATTAAAGGGAAGTAGAATGGAAAGATACATTACTTATTTTGCTCTATTCACTATCTCTTGCTCACCATCTACTGAGAGTTTGCAGGGATGTTTTATCACCTCCACCAAGATACAAAAACTTCTCCCATTTTCCCCATGAGCTGACTCACTTTTGACCTGGTTACCTTCACTCTATTTCCAGAATAGTAGATTATAATGCATTAAATTCTGTACACTTTCAGACTAAGTGAGATCCCTTTGAATGAGCAGGACTGCATACCCTAGCAATGCCATCACTAAAATAGACATACTTGTTTCCAACTCATCCTACATAAAAAATATCTTGTATTACACTGAAAGCATAAATTATCATACTGGTAATTTATACCTTTTAAACGTTATATCTCAAGCTTTAAATAGGCAAATAATTTTCTACTTTCCATTTTCCACCAATAGATGGCAGGTGAAGCTCTAGAAAATTATTCACTTGATACAGCATGAGATAACCTATAATTTGAAAGTACATAGCCAGCTGTAAATTACTGCTCTCTGATACCTCTTTAGATGTGATCATGACTTAGTCCTAGCCCATCCACCTTGCATTACAAACCTTAGCCTAAGTTTAGGAATACCTCCATGTTGTATGTAGAACCCTTATTTCTTTTGTCCCACTCCATTAGGTCAAACTGAAGTTTGTGCACACTGATTTCTCTCTTGGTTGAGAAGGTACTGTCAGTGTGGTGCAGCAGCTGTTACATTCATTCAGTGCCTTAAGACTGAGCTTTCTGTGACTAAACAAGAAAACCTCTGCATTCATACACATGTCAGAAATCGCACCAGTTATAAGCCACAACAGAATAGCTTAAAGCTCTGTGATTTCCAGTTCCAGAAAAGCTAGAAACACAAGGAGGGAGTGCAGGAGGACAAAGAGCCCACTACAATGACAAAGCTTATTCATGTACCTCATTAAGGATGCTCCTAATGTGTTAAAATAATTCTTTATATATGATGCTGCATTTTTAAAAATCCATTTGCTTTTTCCAAAACACAAAAGCAGGAGGGATTGAATCTTGTTCACATACAAGCTAAAAGGACATGGTGTTAAAAGTCACAATAGAGAGATAAAAAAAGATGAAGACTCATGCTATAATTGTTTTAAGGACAACAAGTAATATGTTGTAGTCAATTAATTGTAGGATCTAATTGAAAAATGAATAGAAGTGTGCATAAACCACAGGGGTTTAGGACTGCAGAGCACAAAAGGATACCTTTCCCTCTAGGCAATCTGCATTAGTAAATGTACATTATTTTTCCTGCAAAATGATTTCCTGAAATCAGTCTGCCTCATAATTGCCCTGCTGTTACTGGCAGTCTAAGTATTGATGACTAAGTGACCATTAGAGCTCAGCTGGTTCTTGTATATATCACAATACCTCCTCCAGGCTGACTGAGTAGACAAATTTGATTGCTCTCATCCCTGCATTGCAGCTTTGGTGATTTCTATTAACTCACTCCATTCAGAAATCCTTATATTTTTACAAGTTAATTTATTTTCCTGAGCTCCACTTCTAAGTGTAATTCGCAGCATATATTCCATTGTATTTGGTATCTTCCACTGTTTTGCTGGCAACAGCAGCAAAACATGGATAAAACCCAAGGCCATCAGGAAACATCAATGGTTAGACATTGAACAACGAAGATCATGCACCTCACTCAGTGACTATTAATCACTCTCTACCAGTAATGTTACAGAAAAGAAGAGAGGATATCTTAAGTTGCTTCAAATGAACAGCTCTCCAGTGAACTGGGGAAGTTTGGCAGCATACATCATGACGAAAACAAATTACAAAACCTAATTTTGGATGACCAATTTAGGTGTCTTTGTCTTTCTAGCCCAGACAACAAAGACAAGAGAGCTGTTGGAATAACCCTCTGCAGAAAAACCTTGACTACACAAGAACCTGAACTTCTGTCTCTATCACCTCAGGCAAATACCCCAAATAAGACAACATGAATGACCCCTTCAGATACTGTACCTGTTACTGAATGTGAAAAAAATGGGTGCAATTAACAACCAAATTCCCAAGGGCCAGGTCACAGCATCCAAAACCAGCATATGACCACAGACTTGACAGTAACATGATGCTAAGCTGCACATTACCTTGACCCTCAAATAACAGACAGCACATTCTATCACAACAGAACTATTAAATAATCAGACTGTCTCAAAGCTACACATTTGCCCTTAGCTTGTCTTTGCTTGGAGCCTCTCTCCTTGAAGAGTAAACTTTTCATTCAAACCTCAGCTGAGAGCAGCCTGTAGTCAGTGAAACTGCAGAGAAAGGTCTGTAAACAATACCTGCTCTGTAGAGAACAAGCTGACCTTTATAGATGTTAGACAAAACAAAAAGGGTTGATTGATGCTGGGAAGTACCTGCTCTCCAAAATATTAAAACCAAGAAAGTCAATGGAAGGTTAGTTCATGAACATACAGTGTGATAAATTATATCAGTGGGGTGGTGGGGTAGGGAAGGAGAAAGCATGATTTGGTAAAATATTTAGGGCAAAAAGCCTGTATGTTAATCTGGAAAAGGAAAAACTGTGTATTGCTGACTTCTGTAAAATGGAAAAAAAAAAAAAACAAACAACCAAACGTTATCTAGAGCAGGTCAGTTGCTGAAGTCTTCATGACTCATTTCTTAAATTCTGATTAACACAGTAAGACATCGTAGGTTTTTAGAATAAGAAATCTATTTGTAAATTCCAACAGAGAATTACAATTTAGCCACAAATGTGCTACTAATATAGAAAAGGACAATCTAACCTAGACAGAATCATGGAATCACTTATGTTGGAAAAGGCCCTCCAGATCATCAAGTCCAACCACAACCCAGCACTGCCAAGTCCCCCCCTTAAACCATGTCCCTCAGGGCAGCATCTTCAAGTCTTTTAAATACCTCCAGGGCCGTCAACTCAACCACCTCCCTGGGCAACCTGTGCCAATGCTTTATAAACCTTTCAGTGAACAAACTGTTACTATTATGCAATTTAAGGCTGTTTCTTCTTTTCCTCTCACTTCTGGCTTGGGAAGAGACCGATACCTATCTTGCTATAACCTCCCTCCTGGTAGTTTCGGTTTCAGTCTGCCTGTGTCTTGTGGATCCCCACAGCTCTCATCCAGTGGTAACAGGACATGAGCAGTTATTTGCAGATAACTACAATACTGTCTCAGAAGCAAAAGGCACAACCCCACAGCACATTTCCAATACTGTCAACTAGGACCTAACCATGAAGTGAAAGCAATGCCCAGGACAGAATTACCTTAATACAAAAACATTTATGCCCAAAATGTAATGTTGTCCTTGTCATGCTTTTTATACACTTTAACCCTGGTTTCTAGAAGACAGCAAAAATGCCTTTGGACAGCAGAGGAGCTATCTGGCATTAGAATTTTTTGCAATGCAGGATGACTTGGAGGAAGTTAAGGATTGTATTATGATTATGCAAGAAATCTGCTGAGAATCTGCGATGAAAGAGTTGAGATCACTGAAGTCAAGAGGTATTTAGATTTCAGACCAGCATCTCTCCCTGGCTTTTAAGCAAAAATAAAAATCACATAGCTCCAAAAAAAGAAGTTAATAATCAACACATTTTAGGCAATTTTGTCTAAAGTGAGGAAGAGAACTCTGCTAATGAAACATTAAAGTGCAGGTACATGTCTTGGGATTGGCTATTAGGTAAGCTCTGAACAAAATTGTGGCAAAAAGAAGTAACTTTTCAGACAACTCCCAAAAGCAAAATTATGATTACATTAGGAATCTGTGATAAAGGGAAAAAGAAGCTTGTGAAACCAGTGGAGCAATATGTAAAGATAGGAGAGAGAAATAAGTAGTTATCCAACAATAAATGCATTCAGAAGATCAGCCATAACACTTGTTGGTGTGGACTGACTTTCAGAAATTCCGAGCTGAGTTTGACAGAGGCTCAGGATCACTGAATATCAAGAAAATTTACTTTATTCCTGTGCACTCTGTAACACACTGCATAGTATCCCATACGTTTTAGCTGCAGACAAATGATTGAAAACTTCTACATTTTCCTGGTTACAAACTAAAACTATTTACCATTGGTGTGGCCTCTGTGAAATCCATCAGGAGGTCACCTGGCTCCAAAGCAAATGTACTCCCAGCATCTGTGGAACTCTAAAGGCAAAAAAGAAACCGAGCATTGGAATAAAGAACCATTTCATTTCTGTAATTTTGTTTGTTATTTTTGTTGGGTTTTTAATTCCTTAAAGCACAGATTGCCAAATGGATTTTAAATTTCACACCATGTTTTTCAGGTGTGGCTTCTCAGGAAAGGTAAAAAACATAATTACACACCTTTAAAATCCATGTGAGTAATCTTGATCCACTGCCCACTAATGCTGAGGAAAAACTGTTATGGATTTTATCTGGGTCTTGGAGCAGGCTCTCAATACTTCCTTACACAACAAGTTAAACAAATCACTACAATTCTGCATTAAAAAAAACTGCTTTTAAATGTAGAATTATTCCATCTAGGGAAAACCTTTTACTCCCAACTCCCTCCTATCCTTCCTGAACCCTCTCCCAAGTGACATGAGCTCATCCCTTTGTGTGTTACCTTGCCACCGGGCGAAACCTGTGCTTGTCCTTCCGATGTTTGTGGCGTGCACGTTTTCTGCGACCCGGGAGATGCTGAAGACACAGGTGTTGATGCTGCTGCTGCTGCTGCCAGTGCTGGAGGAAGGTCATCTTCATCACTGCCATTGATAAAAACAGACAGATTTTCTCATTAGAAAATGCCACCGGACTTTTGACTGCATTTGTGTCAGAGGAGGCACTGGTAACCTGTGTGTCTCCTGCAATGCTTTGAAGTGAAGATCCATTTACTCTTCCCTCTAAAAAGCAGCTACCTTTTCAAGTAAATTAGATTTTTTTTAAGCTTTAAAGATTCCTTAAAAATGGATTGGCTGGGTACTTCTCATCTGCAAAAGGAAGTCTTATGGTTATTAGGTGCAAGTAGTGTTTCTATGGATTATGTATATATGCATGAGTGAACGGACTAGATATTACTCCACTTTAATGTTTATTCTTTTCTGTGGAGGCTGGCAGCCTTGATAAGAACAGATATGGAGACATCCATCCATGGATCTGACTGTTTCATTGGCTTCAGACAATGCTAGGTTTGACACCCATTATGGAGCTAGTCTATGCTTCTATTTTCAAACTGTATTTAAAGGAATTTGATTGACTCCAAAAAAGGGTCTCTTTAAAAACATTCTTGTGAGGGTATCTTTTCCTGTCCCATTTATTCCATTTACAGAGAAAACATTTTATTTAAGATGAGGTTGCATGCTTCCCCTGGGCTTTGGGCCATCAAGCTGAACTCTTTCCATCTTACCTACTGTCACTACCAAATGAAAGCCAATAAAGAATGTCATACCTTCGTTTACTTTCACAGAACTTTTGCAGAACCCTATTGACTACAGATCACTGGGATCAGTCAGCCCTGAGTTAGGATGCTTCCAGTTGTTAATTGCACTTGGATGGAGGTAAACAGAGTCATAATTTGGCCTACGGAAGCCTTATTACTGGGAATGATGTGTGAAAAGACTACAGATTGACAGCTTAATGAACAGTGAAAAATAATGAGAAAAATTACTTCTGCTCATAAAACAGCACAATTTTAACTACCAATTAGGTACTCATAGTGCACAGAAGGCTGCCATGCCAGCTTGACTGCATGTATCTGCCTTGCCAGATACTTCCAGAACAGAACTACACTTGATTTAATGCCACTTGAAGGCAGCATGCCTGGACCACAAAAACCTTCAAAACTACATGACATACAGGTTATGCAACTTTATGCTGGGTTACCTAGCATTGCTTTTTAATTATGATGCAAAATTTTGGTGATTAATATTATGTTTTTCAAACTTCATTTTTTATTCCTTCTGGTTAAGGATAGAATTCAGTACACTGAATGCACAGTACACAGGTTTTGTGCTGGAAAGAAATTGTGAAATCTTTTGGACCTGTTGAATAGACATTTTATTAATGTAACAAGCCCAGAGCTGAGCTGCTGACCTAGTTAATCTCTCTTTCAGAAACATGTAGATGACATTTTCCCAGTCCTTGCTCTCCACTCTCAGCAGGAATTCACTGGCACCCTCCCCATTCTTTCTGAGTCAAGTTCCTCTGGTGTATACAAGGAAGTGGAAAAATAAGAGTTAGGGTTGATTTATCAGCCATCTAGCTATCAGCACACTAGCTGCAAGACTGAGAAATGGCCTTCACTGTATTACTTTCACAATAATCCTTTGCTGTTTCTTCACATTTCCCACATCTGCATTCCAGATACAAGATAATTTAAATTGAACAGAATTTGAGTTTACAAAAGAAAAAAAAAAATAAGGGCCCATATTTTTCACTAGAGAGTCTTTCGCCCTACACATGGCCACACCATAGGTGGCACCTGTGGTTAGATATGTACATCTGCTGTTCCTCACACCTTATCCTGGACAACTAAAAATCCACATGGGAGCAAGACATGTTCAAAACTGTTCATCAAAACATCATCAATCAAAAAGTGATTGCGTGTTTCCACATGCCAGTCTTGGCCTCTTGGACAAAGACCAATTTGGCTAATAGCTCATTTTCCTCCTAGCTTCAATTTGACTAGTTCCTCTGTTTCTTGTTCTAAATAATTTTTCAGTTTTGGTAATGCAGATCGTTACAAAGACAACGTTTTTAACAGTGAAACAAAAAGCCCCAACATATTGATATTTATTAGAATTCTTTTGAAGAGACAAAAAATATATTTACTCTCATTAGAATATTGAAATCCTGGATGGACTAACAGTTGCCATTCCACACAGAAAGCATACATATTTTTTTCCTTTATAATGGCATTGGTATTCTTGTACTTATAAGTTTATGCTGACATTATTCCTTTTTCCCTTTAATTTCTGGTGGCCTTGTCTGTCTTTTCATGGGAGGACAAATCAACATTGACTTTCACTTCTGCTCAGTACCTCATATCTCTAGAGACTTTCAAGTGGAATGAATTATGTGTAAATGGGATGCCAAAGCCCTCTAGGCACAGATCCCTCTTTCCAGGACTAAGAGAATTTGATTTTGCTGGCTGTAGCTGTAGCAGGCTCAGCAATTTCTTCATGTGACAAATCACAGAGAGGGAGGGTGCACTCTCTGAGAGGCAATGGCTCACAGCACAGCTTGATGCCCCAACAACTAAAGAATGTTTTCCTCATTTTGAAAATGGGGTTGTAATGAAGCCAACAGAGCAGCTTGTTCCAGCTCACACCAGGTCTTTGACATTTCATATGGTAAAGAGGTTTTTAATTCCTAACCCATAATCTTGGGAAAAGGTGGATGGTCTGCAATTCAAAGGGTTAGCCACTGCATAGGAAAGGCAAATTCATTTTGTATTAAAAGCATGAAGATTCTCAGTGATGAAAGGAATGGTATCGGTATAAGATCATTATCATGTAATTGCACTCATGCCTTTCAGAAGGCACAGCTAGAGCAATAATTAGCATCCCCTTTCATTTTCAGCTGTAGTAGGCAAAGCCACAAAGATAATGCTGTATGTTACTCACAAACTGTACTGCCTCGTTAACTTCCTCACACGGGGAGCTTTAACCTCCTGCTTTTCTGTAGGGACAGTTGTTGGTGTAGTTTCAGGTCTCACTGGAGCTGGACTTCTAAAAATAGCAAGAAAAACATATGTCATACAGGCTCTATTTAAACTACTTCAGGCATATCACCAAAGTTCTAGCTCATCAACACTTACTTATCTTGCAAAGTGGCTAGTGCCCATTGGAGTTCATCCTTTTGTTCCATTTATAGTTCACTGGCCAGTGTGTGTGTGTGTACAGAAAAGGATGTGTGAAGTCACCCCCCTGTGCTGGGTATACCATTTATAGAAGCAGCCACTGGTTACAAACACAGAGCCTATGTGAAAGACCATGTGGAAATGTCACTGTTTCCAAAATATCACATTTTAATAACAGACCAGCAGTTCAGTCACGTCAGAAATATTTTTACAAAACATATGTTTAACAAAAACTATTTTATGAATTGTGAAACCTGTTCTGCTTAAAATATTTTTATTTGAAATTAAACATTATCCTTCCACAGTTGAAAGAGCAGCTCAAGGGAAATGAACTAATGGATATGATCCAAGAAAAATGATCAAATTTTTTCCAGCTTGCTAGAAAAAAGCAAAACTCAGACGTGTTTCAGATGCTCATTAGTGTGAAACACATCTGCAGAGCTCCAGCAAAGGAAAGCTATGGCAATGAGGAGGTCCACATGAAAGAAGCTTCTCCTTAACCATATATCAGTAGAATTAACTCAGGCTTCAATAAAAAAATCATAAATACTAAATAAAAGATCCTCATGACCTTGGGAGGAAACCACTTCAACCATGAGCTTGAGGGGCATGAAGACACATGAAACATCTTAAATACTGCTTTTACTTGAAGCAACAGGTTATGATTAAATACACTATATATGTACTATAAACATAATAAATATGCCAAACATTAAAAAAAAATCATTTGAAAGTCTGGATTAAAAATTTGTGAAATGGTATTCTGCCATCTAATCTGAAGTCAGATTCTAAATTATTAACTTGAGCAGCCCTACTGATTGCTATTGGGACTGCACATGCACTGAGGTACATTTCACAAATGGCAAACGTTTTTCTAGTCTACTTACATTGTATTAGCCTTCTAAAGCCTTAATAAGACACGCATGTTTAATTTTCACTATTGCAGATCCCTCTGATACCCCTGTGTGTTTTAAGCTTTGCTAACTCTCTTTGATAACTTCTGAATCTGATATTGAGCTATAACAGAACCTACTGAGATGGCACAGCCTTCAGGTTATATATTCAGTTTTCCTAAATATTTCTTAGTCTTTGGAGAGGTCACAGAGTATAAGATGGACCAGTGGAAAATAGTAAAGTACAAAGGGAATAAATACATAATAAACCTGATTACTAGTTCCACTTCTCATAAAACAACTTTTGTCAATTATTTACCTGCTATTTTTTCCCATTAATTTCAAGAAGTTGGTATAGATAGCAGAAGATATCAATATCAGACATATTTCCTTTCCCCTGTTCAAATTTCAGTGTCAGCCATTTTTATCACAGATTTCTCAATGATATTAATGCAGAACAAGCCAGCCAGTTCTGAAGGCCTTTTGCTGAGTTTGTTAGGCTATTAGGCTGGCAAATAAGGGAAAGATAAGCAAAGGGGGGGGAAAAAACGCCCAAATCATCTGTTTTAGTCTTGAATTCAATATATCTGATGTGAAAATATGTGAATCAACCTCATTATGGAAGCTCCCAAGTTCGTTTTGACCAAGTCAGACTTCAGATTGGAAGAAAACACTAGCTCTTCTTTTCCTGAAACAAAGGTATCTTTTGGCTACTGAAAAAAATTACTTGTTCTATTTACCCAAAGTGATTTCCAATTGAAGTCTGACATAAGCAGGATAAATATGTTATGACAATTAAATAACAGAAAATCACATTCTGAAGGGGTGTAAATGACTGTAATTATTTTCAGCGCAAATATATTGGCTGACATTCTTGCTCTGTATGAATGGTCCTCACAACTTTCCAATAATTTTGTAAGAGGATACCTTACAATTTTTAAAGCTTTTCACCAACTCAATGAGAGTGGAAACAGAGTGGTATAAACTACATGAGTTGAATAACATTTCCTCAAAATGATATCAAGTGATGAACTAATACTATGAAGGGGTTCAAGAAACAGCAAAGTGTAGAATAGGAAAGCTGGTTACAAATCTATTTCCAGTTCATGGGTGCTTCAAATTTCTCAGGACAACATTATAACCTGTGATGTAAGTCAGTCAGATACTTTCACACAAAGGAAGATTTGAAGTGATAATTTCAGCCCTTTTATTATGTTTCATTTTACAAAGCCTGTGTATCTCCTTTGGAATACTGTGGTTTGTAATTAAAAAAAAAAAAAAGAAGAGGTGGGGCTTTTGAAGCAGTTATCTCAATTGTCACAATCAAATTTTTGTTTGAAAAGATGTAGTGCAATTTTGTAACTAAAGCAGTTTGCAATGATTTCAAAGCAAGTTATAAAACTCACTTATATGTATGAAAAATTTTTAAATTCTAAGTCTGAATTAATGCTGAAAAAAATGTTTAACATGAAAAATTTCACTCAACTGTAAATAAAATGTTTGAGATACAAACAGCGCCTACTCTCTAATCCAATAGAAAGATGAAAAACTTATTATTTTCCTTTGAATGCTGCAGATTTTCAAGTAGAAAAAAAAAGTTCAAGTAAACATTAGACACACCTACTCCTTTTTCAGCCATTGTAATTGCTCAGATAAACTTATGTTTTGTACTACACCAGTAAAATATTCCACTCATTTATCTTGCAAAATCAATACCATTTTAAAAGAAAATCTTCTTTCCCATTATGATAAAATTTTGCCATAAGTTTTGTTAGAGGCTGGTGGCAGTAAGTACCTTTCCCCTAATATTTCTCAGGCCTCTGAGGAAGAGACAAGCACCATTTATTGCACATTTTGAGAAACTGCAGGTTAGCTAGGATATAAACTGAAATTACCCTCAAATGAAAAGGAGCTGTGGCAATGCTTCTACCCAAAGAGGCCCTTAGCACAAGATGAAATGTTAGACTAGTCCTACAAACGGCAGAGCTGGAATTTTGCCCTCATTAAAACCTTTCTAGGTTACTTCTTTCCACACCAGGCTAAAAATTCCATGACAGCTCCTGTTCCATCTTCAAACACTCTTCCTCAGTCTGAACCTGCTCAAAACTGTTGCTACTCTCTCAACAGCAACTAGATGCAAGAAGTGCTCAGCTTGATCAACCCAGTGCCCAATCTGTCTTTTAAAAATGGTAGGTTTTTAATATCATAGAAACTCTTAAAAAAAATCTTACTGATATTCCAGAAAAAGTAGCAGAATAACTTCTGTTACTATCCTTTGATTTCTACAGCCAGAATTCTTATATGGAAAGATATGATTTTTGAAGAGAAGCCTTGTAATTATTTCAATTATTTAAATAGAGTGATTAGGTGCAGATAACACCATTTAAAGTTTGTAGTCCTATAAAAATTACACAGCTATATAAATCACAGTAGTCCTGTACAAAGTATACAGCTTGAGGAAAAGTATAGGAGGAAAGTGTTAAAGGATCAGTGGGACTCAGAATTAAAATGAAAAATAAAATGTACAGTGTATTACAGTTCCTTTAGAAGGCTCTTTTTCAATGTCATTAATTCATAAACCTTTTTCCTGTAACAGTATCCAACCACTACTGCATACAAATGAAGGTACTGAACCAAGAGAGAGTTACTTAATGACCTGGCACCTTACATAAAAATCTGTCGCTTCCTGGTGAGAATGACAATAACAACCACGAATGTCAGCATGCAGTGGCAGGTCATCAGAAACTGCCTGTGCACTGAGAGCTCCAGCACCCTCCTGAGCCACAGCCAGCACACTCTTCTGAACTAGCTTCAGCCTGTTCCACCAGCCTGCACAGCAAAACAAACACGACCCAGAGAGAGATCCCCCAAACCCAAGGAATCTGTTTTATTCTCAGACTAGCAGCCAAGGAGGCGACTGAAACCAAAACTACTCACAAAAAAAAATTACCCTGTGGAACATTTCGAGTGACCACAGATGTATGCTGGTTTACCTTAACCTTCCTTGGGGGTGGAATGCATGTGCTCATGCTGAGGGACTCAGGGTGTCCCACCTCACCTTGGCTCTGATTGCAAGGCTGAGGCTGCACTGCTCCTGCACCACCCATTTGTGTGCCATGGCTTCCTTGTCCCCTGCTTGGGAGGCTCTGGACAGACCTCCATGCTTGGTTGAAACATGGCAATTGGGCTATGTGGGATAAAATGATTGTCCACGTCATAAACTGAATGGCATTAATTAACTTCTCTTGCCTTGGAGGATGCAGTTCAGGATTTTAAAACTACCAAAGTCTGCTGGGGGAACACACTTCCTGCACTTCTCTTTAACAGGCTTTATCCTCTTTACTTCTCTTTCTCTTTGTGTCTAATTTGTCATCTGGAACAATACCTCTCCCTGTGTCTTCCCAAACTGATGCCAAGAGATAGAGGATAAAAGCCCCATGATTACAAGGATACAGCCAGCTGCATGAAAGTTAACCTGCTTTCAGATGCTGACTCATGGAAAAGGAAAAAAAAAAAACCTCAGAGGCTGATCTTGGCTGCAGAATTCCTTTTGAGTGGGAACATGATAGTGAAAACTTGGGAAGGATAAGCAAGAAAGAAAGGAAGGAAAAGGAAAAATACTTGATAGATGCATTCTCTTGTATATCAAAGACATAGCCTAACAAGCTAAGCAAACACAGACAAACACTCAAATCTTTCCTAAGCCTGTACTCTTAGTATTTCACACATTTCTCTTCCAAAGGTCATCTGAAGTTAAGAAACAATATGTTCTTTTTCCCTTTGATAAGGTACCTTTTCTCAGAAGACAGGTTAACTCTTCAAAACATTGCTTGGACATTTTAAAGCTACTGCCTGTATCAAATTTTTTGAATAAATTTTTTTTTCTTCTTTTTACCTCCCATACCCCCCTCCCTATAGATTGCAGATGTATAAAAAAGATCCTTGCTACAGATTATGTGCTTTGCTTACACACAAA